TCCCCTGTCTTGCCCACCCCTGGTGGCCACCAGTAAACATAGGTCTCTATGCAGCTGGCTGTCCTAGACACTTCCTGGAAGTGAGATCACACACTATTTGTCCTTTGTGATAACTTATTTCAGCCGTCATAATACTTGCAAGGTTCATCCATCTCATCCATGTTGTGGCATGTGTCAGGACTTCATTTCTCTTTATGACTGAATAATGTTCTGTCGTATATATATATACTGCATTCTCTTTATCCATCCATCGTAGACATTTAGGCTGTTTCCACCTTTTGGGTATAGCAAATAGTGCTACGATACACATTGTGTTCCTGCTTCCGATTCTTTTGGGTGACATGCATGTCTTGGAAGGCATGATACTGACTCAAATTGAATCTCTGACCATTTGACGTCCCTAGAAACTTTCTAAACAGGCTGCTGCTAGACTAGGTCTACTCGGTTCCAATTTTAGAAAGTTACTCTGGACTCTGCTTCAGAATGTGACATTTCTTCCTATACTATTTCACCTTCTTAGACTCCTTCCATCTTTCAGTCTGTTGAGTCCTTTGAATCCAGAATAATCTACATGTATGAACCCTTCTAGGTTGTGTCCTTGGTAAGTCTGATCCTCAGGCTCCCAATGTTCCTATCTGGTCACTGGTGAACATACTAGACCAGACATGGCTGAAGACAGAGCCATGTGGTCCTCCACTGATACCTCGATCTAATATGACATTGACCTATTAATCAGCTCCCTTTGAACATAGGTCAATCAATCAACCAATTACAGCAGAATACTAGTAGCCACCAGCACAAGGTCTCCTTTGGAAATCTCCCAAGGATTTCATAAAAGATAACATCAGATACCTCATTGAGAGACCCTGTGTCTGTAGCAATCCCCTGCTGGCCCTGCAACCCTGACTTCAAGGGAAGTGGGGTTAGTCCTTGGGGACTGGTACAAGTGCCTTGTGGTTACTGTGCCCACCTCAAGAAGCTCAGAGGGCATCCTTTTAATAACCTACCTCAGAGTCCTGCCTGGCTCCCCTTTCACTCACCAGGTGATATTGGTATGATCCACCATCTGTCCTAGTGGAAATCCAGGCTGCATCTGCTCCTGTCCTTAACACTCTCCTTTCCTCCTCAGTCTCCCCTGCAGACTGCCCTCAGCAGCCTTGCAGACTTCCCCAGGCGCTGCCCCAGTGCTGGAGGTAGAATTTCTCAGGAGTGTGGACATCTGAAAACACTCAGAGCTGCTCCTGCCAGCTCCCCTGCCCCTGCCCTCAAGGAGCTCTGGCCCAGGTCAGAAAGAAGGTAGGCAAAACACCACAGCTCACCTGGCCCCAAGGCCTCTAGCTGGGGCCTTAGCCTCTTCTCCCCTCCCCTCTGCCTGCCTCCAGCCGTGCTGGGGAGCTGGAGAGGAAGGGATGTTCCCCTTCCCTCAAAGGGCTCAGAGTCCCAAAGGGGAGGCAGACATGCCAACAATGAACTGAACCTTAGTATCTGAATGTCATATCAAAGAAATCTGGACAAAAGCTGTGGAAGTGCAAGGACGGAATGACTAATCCTTCCCAGAAGAGGGGACGGCTTTCCGAGGGAGGTGACATTTGGGCTGGACCCCTGAAGGACGCATTAAAATTTTAGGGAGAACTTCTGAGTGCACTAGGTGGGGAGGAAGGGGAGTGGAATTCCAGCAGAGAACAGCCTGGGGCGGGCACAGGGGAGTGAGAGGAAATGTGGGGGGACTAATGACCGTCTTCATTCCCTTGGGCTTCTGGAACCAATTACCGCAGGAGTGGCTTAAAATAGAACTTCATTTTCTCAGAGTTCTAGGGGCTAGAAGCCTGAGTTTAGAGTATAAGTGGGGCCGTGCCCTCTCTGAAGACTCATGGGGAGGGCGCTCCCTCGTCCCTTCTAGTTGCCTGTGGCCCCAGGTTTTCCTTGGCTTGTGGCAGAGTCACACCACCCTCAGCCCACACCGGTCTCTGCCTTCATTTTCATGTGGCTGTTATCCCTGTGTGTCTCGCTTCCTTTTTCTATAAGGACACCAGTCATAAAGAGATTTGGGTCCACCTTACTGACCTTATCTTGATTAATTACATCTGCAATGATCTGTTTCCAGATAAGGTCTAGTTCACTCATACCAGGGATTAGGACTTCAACGTATCTTTCTGGGGACACAGTTTAGCCCAGAACAATGATCAAGGCCGAGGGGCTGGATGTTGGTTGCAGGACAGGGTGTGGCAAGTGACGAAGTGAAGAGACAGCAGCAGGCAGCGTGGGAGGGGTCTTGCAGGCTGTACTGGGGACCACGCCATGTATTCCTTCATCCCACCTCCTCTGCAGTTGTCTTTCATTGGTTCAACCAGTGCATTGAACTTCATAGATGCTAGGCATTTTTCTGATTCTAGAGGCCAAATAGTGAGCTCTGGTGCCTAAGGACTTGACTGCTGACCACCAGCCACTCCTCAGAAGGAAGGTTGGGCAATCTACTTCCCTAGAGATACCGCCTCGGAAACCTAAGGAGGGGTCGCTATGACTCATATCGACTCAACTCGACGGCATTGAGTTTGGGTTTTTTGGGGGGTCTTTTTGTTTGTTTTAGAGGCCAAATGCTAAACTTCCCTCAGCCAGGAAGAGCCAGATTGCACACCCACAGTGACAAACAGTGAGTAGCCAGAGCCCTGAGAGGCTAGCACCAGCCAGAGCGGAAAGGGAAGGTTTCTGGGAGTTGACGATGTCTATGAGCAAGGACTTGGAGGACAAGTAAGAGTCAGATGAAGGATATCCCAGGGAATGGGAGCCGCAAGTAGAAAGGCCTGGAGCCAGGAGAGACGAAGGACGTGTGTGGGGTGGTGAACGGTGGGGGATGAGGCTAGAGGGAAGGCAGGGTCATATCACTGCTTCAAGACCAGGTGGCAGAAAGCCAGTGGAGACTTCATCAGGGCATGATACAATCTGATTTGCTCCTGGACTGCTCTCCCACACATTGTTAATGGAGGGTGGACGGAAAGCGGGCTGAGGACAGGGAGTAGACCTGGAGGAGAGAAGAGCCTATGATTCAGGTGGTAACATGAGAGGAGGACAGGGAAAATGTGAATGATGTTGAGAAGAGGGCATAAGAGGCCAAGCCTCATGACAAGCAACCTGCAACGGGCCACGGCAAGGGGGATCTCCAACATCCCACACATGTCTCTGCTCTGGTGACCAATAGATGGAGGGGTCACCCATGAGCCAGGCACAGTGGCCAAAGTGGGCGTTTGGGGCATGATGAGTGGGTGACACTGGTGAAGTACCCCAGGAAAAGGCTTGCTGGGGCTGGGGGTGCAGGGCTGGCTAGGGACAGAGGTGGGAAACCAGAAGGGTTTGGGAGTGGAGGAGTTTCTGAAAGAGAGGTTAGAAGGGCAGTTTCTGTCTATAAAACCCCCAGGAGCTGTTACCCCTTCTCTTGAAGAGCCTGGATGATTCTCCTAGATACAGGCAGGGTTCAGAGAGGGGCATTGACTTCCTCAGGGTCACACAGCAAGCAGTGGAGGAGCCTGACCTAGATCCCAGGAACTCTCTTGGGGATGGTCACGTGAAAGGAACTATGTTCTCATCACCACTGTTACTCCATCACTCTACTTCAGAGCCTCTCATGTCTTATGGTCCCTCTGACTTTGCCTTTCAGTCTCTGTGGCTCTGAAACATCCCCCTCACTCTGAGGCCTGTAAGAGAGTGTGTGTTGGGGGAGTGGTTATAGGGAAGGGCCCATGCAGGTGCCCAGACATATCTGATCCCTCTTGTCTCCCTCTCCATCCACCTCTTCTCCTCCTTCCCATCCCACTTTCTGGGAAGGAGGCCTCCCTGTTGCTTAGCAACCAGCAGAGCCTTGGAGAAAGGAAATGGATAGAGCTCAGGAGGTACCTGCTCCCTGTGAAGATGGAGGTCCTTGGTTTGTGTACACGTTCTGGTCTTCCACTTCATGCCTTGTATGGGGCCACGGCTTCTCACCTCCCAAACCATGTGGACTCCCCACCCCACTCCAAGTGGCTAATGTCAATATCACATGTGGCCACATGTCAGAAGCAGTGTTTCCAAAACAAAGAAGGCACTGCAGTCTTGTGGGCTTCATTCTGAGTGAGATCTCCACCTGGAATGTTGGCCTTGGAAGAGTTAGCCAGATCAAAGCAGAAACTGGAAACTGCACCTGGGCTGGAAATGGACTTGCACTTGGAAAAGGCCCCATTCTCTGCAGGGCAGCCCTGGGAGCAGTCTGGAAGGTGGGGCACATGTGGTCTGTGATCCCACAGGTCAGAGCTAGGACAATGAGGGGGTAGTGGTAAGAGAAGACAAGTTAAAGTTGAGCATGAAGGAAAAGCAAGAATAAAGCTAGCAATCAATGATTCTTGGAGACTGATTTGGTTGTCCAGGAGTCAGTGAGGTGTGCTAGCAGCAGCTGGGCGGTCTCAGGGCATTCCTGCAAGGCAGAATAAATAGGTCATCCCAGGTCGTTTGACAGTCCCTTGTTGTTATGTGCCATCGAGTCGGACCCGACTCATAGTGACCCCTCCTTGGGTTTCCAAGGCAGTATCACTACGGAAGTATGTTGCCCTATCTTCCTTCCTTGGAGTGGCTGGTGGGTTTGAACCACCAGCCTTCTGGTTAGCAGTCAAGTGCCTTAGGCACTATGCTACCAGAGCTCCCGACAGTCCCTTGAGATGCCACAATTCCAAGCCAAGAGCCTTAGAAGCCATTAGTCCAGCCCGCATCCACCCACTTCACCGATGGAGAAAGCCCGGTATCTCATCCCTCCTCATGCCCTGAGGTGTGACCCACGGGTGCAAACCCGAGGCCAGCCCGCCCCCATCTGTAGCGTGAGGGGAAGCAGATTAGCGCTGTGGGTAGATCCTTCAACCTCCGGGATTAACCAGCGCACAGAGGAGTGTAGCAGGTGACCAGAAGTGACCATCCCACCCCGGGTCTGTGTCTGTCCCGCAGAGCCGGCGCCCGAGGCCAGCAGCTCTGGAACCAGCGCCATGGCCTCCACTGTGAATAACGGGGCGGCCAGCACGCCATCCCCTGCCGACGCCTCGAATGGCTTCCCGCAGCCGGGCGCTTCCTCCGGGGCCTGGCCGCGCGCCGAGGAGGAGCTGCGCGCCGCCGAGCCGGGCCTGGTGAAGCGCGCGCACCGCGAGATCCTGGACCATGAGCGCAAGCGGCGCGTGGAGCTCAAGTGCATGGAGCTGCAGGAGATGATGGAGGAGCAGGGGTGAGCACGGCGAGGAGCCAATGGGAACCGCGAGCCGAGCCTGCGCGGGAGGCGGTGCAGGACGGCAGGAGGGGCAGGCTCGAGGGGAGGGCCCAAGGGTCTGGGGCGGAGCCAGAGGGGGCTGGGCGGGTCCTGAGGGCCGAGCTGGCTCCGGGGGCGGAGTCCGGTTAGGGACCAAAGGCTGAACCAATGGGTTGAAACCGTGCAAACCAAACTCACCTTTCGTACATTCATTAGTTCACTCATTCAGTAAGCTGTGTTTGAATGCCAGCTCTATGTCAAACTCTGAGCTGGGCTGGGATTCACAGAGCCAAGCAGAGGAGCCCCTGCCCTCCAGAACCATCCAGTCTTGAGGAAGAGAAAGGCACATTAAGTAAGCGTCCGTGACAATACAAGGCTTTAACTTCCCCTTGTATGAAAGGGGTGGATCAGGCTCGCCAGACTCTGCCAACCCAGGGATGGACTGATGTGGGAAAGCGCAAATGAGTTTTTACTGGGTGTTGGGTCAGTCAGCTCAGCAAAGGAATCTTGGGCATTACACCCAGAACCTAGCTCAGGTTTCACCCTGTCTAGTTCAAGGTCGCCAGACTCAACAGTAACTTATAGGAGCCCTGGTGGAGCAATGGTTAAGTGCTCATCTGCTAACTGAAGGGTCGACAGTTCAAATCCACCAGCTGCTCCGTGGAAGAAAGATGAGGCAGTCTGCTTCCACAAAGATTTACAGCCTTGGAAACCCTATGGGGCAGTTTCACTGTGTCCTACAGGGTCGCTGGGAGTTGGAATCAACTGGATGGCAATGGGTTTGGGGTCAACAGCAACTAACAACAACAAATTCAGACCTAGCGTCAGTGGCACAAAAGTATGCTGGAATTGTGCTCAACGCTGGGCCCCAGGGCCAGACCAGAGTCACTTCCTGTCCTCACAGACATGTCCCATCCCCACACCGATCTAAGAAGGAAAACAGACATGTTCGTGACCAACTCCACCATGAAAACCAAACCCAACCCACTGCCGTTGAATCAATTCCAACTCATAGAGACCCCCATTGGGTTTCTGAGGCGATAAATCTTTACAGGAATAGATTGCCCCATCTTCCTTCCTTGGAGCAGCTGGTGGGTTTGAACTGCTGACCTTCCGGTTTGCAGCAAATACCTTACCCACTATGCCACAAGAGCTCCACTCTACCATGAAGCAGATTAAAATCAGGATTATAGAACTCACAGGGCCAAGTGCTTTAGTTGCTCAGAGGAAAAGACATTTGAATGAGCGTTGAAGAATGAGAAGGAGCTTGTCAGGCTGAGAAGGGCATGTGGGGGATCCCCAACCTCTCCACCACCGATCAGTCAGTAAAGGTTTAAGGAACCCTCTCTTCCAAGTCTAGTGGACACAGCACAGCCTTTCTACCTGCAGCTGGAGGCAAAGAAAGAGAGAAGATCCCAGCTGTACAGCTCCAAGGAGAGCTGGTGGTCCCAGAAGATCCCTTTTGCATCTGCCCTAATACTTTGAAACTAGTGGGCTGAATGCAGAGGGTGGAGAAGTGGGCAGCTAGGCCTGCCCGTCAAATCTGCACTGTCAGCTAGCCGAGAAGCCAGAAACTCCTTGTGCTGGGATTGGTCCCAGAGCCACAGTTGGGCCTGCCAATGTCCAGGTAGGAGGTCCCTGTTCTGTGCACAACAGCCCTTCCAAACCACACCCTTGCCTGTCCTGGGGTCCCCAGGAGGCAGCCAAGACCTAGGTTGTTCTCCTGTGGTGCTTTGAGGACTCTGAGGCCCAAACAGAGACAACCACTTGCTTATTAAGGCCACCAGGAAGGCAGGGGCAAATCTGAGCCTGGGACCAGGCACCAGGCTGGCAGCCAGGCAAGACTACTTGTGGAGAGAAGACAAGGGAGGGGCCAGGGACTTGGAGAGGGATGTGTAGATGTGAGGATGCTGAAAAGAGACCAAGGAGGCCTCCAGCTGCTGAGAGGTCAGGTCTGATGAGCTGTGGGTGAGAAAAGGAAATGAGATCCCAAGGAGCTGGGCTGGGCAAAGGTGGGGAGTGAAGTATCCTCCCACAGAAAAAAGTATAGGATATTCATGAAACCTGCTAACACTGCAGACTTGAGAGCCTAGACTGAAGGGAGTGTGGGCAGATGGGCGTGGCCAGAGAACTACAGGGATGACTGGGACAGACAAGGGCCAGCCTTCCGCATTTTATTCTTGGAAACTGCCCTACCCCCTCACAGACCTCCATCCCTCGTGGAACCCAGCCCTTCCTGAACCCCTGTCTCCTCACTAAGTCTCCTGCTCTTCACTGAACTTCTCCATCCTCAAAGCCTGTACCTCCCAGAGCCCCTTCCTTTCACTGAACCCCCATGACCTCTCCCACCCTAAGCTCCTCCCCCTGGTTGAATCACGTCTTCCTTTGTGAGACCCCAGCCCCTCCCTGCAAAGGTGAAGGTCATTGTCAAGGGGCTGGCAGCCTCAGCAGAGGATGATGGCATTTGGTCACGCCCTTGATGTCAACCCTTCCCACCTTGCAGCCCCTGTATTAAGGTCCCTGGGCATCAAGGATCCCCACCTCACCAGGAAGAACACATAGGGACCCAGGGTTCAGTCAGGGCTCTTGAGGTGGCCCTCAGACACACCCAAAGCTACCCCTTACTCACCAGTGGAAGGCCTAATCCCTCTGAAGTCACCTGTAAATGAGAGACAGTGACACCCGCCTCCTGGTATTGTTCTGAGGGTCCCATGAAATAAGCCATATATGGGGCTGCCCAGCCCCCAACCAGGCCCCAGGAAGTGCTCAATGAACAGTGAGACCCTTGCTCTGTTACAAAATGCAGTCGTTAATATCATTTCTAGAAACACTGGTTCATTTGCGTTTATTCACTGGGTTCTCCAGCAGTTGAGCGATACATACTCGCAGGAGTCGCAGGAACACGCATTCTTTTGGGCCCATTAAGAAGCAGTCCCTCTCCTTGGTATCGATGGATGGGAGCTAATTCGTTGGGGACTGATGTTGCATTTGAAGGCACCTTCCCAGGGAGGCTGGCCACATACCCTGCAACCGTGGCAGGGCAGAGCGTGTGTATGTAGCAGAGCCCACAATCTACATGACATGATGCCCCCACCTCAGCCCCAGTCACCCCCCAGCCGCCCTGCCTTTCTTGTCACACTCCTTTCTGTGAGGACCCAGGTGAGGTGGGATAGAGCATGGCTTGGAGCCAGGAGCCCTTCTCTCTCCTTGTCCTGTTTCCTCATCTGTAAAATGGCTGCCTATCCCTCACAGAACTGTGGTCAAGGTCAAATTAATAACCAGGAAGTGGTAATCTAGGAAACCCTGGGCCTGGGCAAAAACCGACAGAATTAAACATTTTCTTCTCCAGGTTGTTGTTGTTATTGTTGTTAGGTGTCCGTGGAGCTGCGACCCTGTGTACAACAGAACAAAACACTGCCCAGTCCCATACCAGCCTCATAATCCTTGCCACTCCTGAGCCCATCATTGCAGCTGTGTGTCCATCCACCTCACTGAGGGCCTTCTCCTTTTTCACTGGCCCTCCACTTTACCAAGCATGACATCCTTCTCCAGGGAATGGTCCCTTCTGACAACATGACCAAAGTAGGTGAGGGAAGGATGGCCATTGTAGCTTCCAAGGAGCATTCCGGCTGCACTTTTTCCAGGACAGATTTGTTAGTTCTTCTGGCAGTCATGGTACCTTCAATATCCTTCACCATCACACAGTCACCCCTCAATCCCCTCTTCCCCCAAGGGAAGCAAGCCCTAGACACCCACACACACACACACGCGCGCGCACGCACACACACATACATATGCTACCCCAGGTCCTCATGAAACTCTGGGCTTCTGGCCCACCTCCAACCTTTGGGTTCTCCTACATACTCCCCAGCCCAGGCCCTTGGGCTTCTCCTCCCAGCTCAACCCAGTCCAGGCCACTGGCTCAGCCAGCCTCTGCCTCCCTTCCAGGGATCTGGGAGTGGGTTTGTACTGTGCTGTGCTTGTGTCTGTGCTGGTGACAATGGCAGACTAGTCTCCTGAGGGGAAGACAAGATTAGGAACAGTTCCTCTGTGTCTCCACTGCTCAGACAGGACGCTACCCCTTCTTACTGGGCCCCAGGCCTGCCCAGCCAGCAGAGGGTTCTGTACACCCAATGAGCAAGCCAGGCCAAAGGACCTCCAGGCCCAAGCCAATGCCCCAAGCCTGAGGCTAAATGGGGTTGGAGGCAGATATTGGTGATCCAGGGCCCAGAGCTTGGTGAAGCTGGGTTAGTAGTGTTAGCACAGTATGGCCTGAGCCACACACACACACACCCCTCGAGTGGAGGCGAGGATTGGAGGAGATGAGAGAAGAATCCAGCCTTCCCCAAGGTGGGCTGCAAGGGAGCCTCTATCTGCGGAGTCAGACCCTCAGATGGGGGTCAGTAGCAGTCATGGCGACACCCAGTGAAGCAGTGGGGGGGGTGATGCTCGCCCCCAGCTCCTCCCAGCACATTCAGTACCTGTTTGCCAGTCTCCCTCCCAGATTCTCTTTAGTCAATTTCTCTGTCCCTCTGCCCCTATCTTCAGGGCTACAGTCTAGTCCTGACTGCACCCTCTCCTAACAGAATCTTTGCACTAAGTCTCCCTGCCTCCAATCCCTCTCCTCCAGCCACACAGCCACAAGAGTCAACTTTCCAAAATGAAATTCCAACTTCCAAACTCTTCCTGCCTCTTCTTCACCGGTCACTCAGTCACTCACAATGTGGCAGGCACGGTGCCAGGGGGCTGGGCACGCAACAGTACACCAGACCAGTTCCCTCGGGGAACTCCCAGGCCAGCACAGGATCCAGGCAAGTCAAGACACAATTACTAGGGCATGAACTACCTGTCAGGATCTGGGAGGCGCAGGTTGCTATAGAAACGCAAACACTAGCATCTAACCTAGTCGGGGGTATCAGGCCTGCTGTAAACATCCAATGAGTCAGACCTTTGTACTTAACCATAATTATTTTCATGGTGTAAACCTAGAAGTTAATTTATGAGTCAAAGGAGCTATTCATTTTTTAAAGGCTTTTGAAAGGAATTGCCAAATTGCCCTCCAAAACGGGTGGGTCAGTCTATGAATGCTCGTTAAACGAAGGGAGGGAGAGAGAAAAGAGAGGATGCCAGGGAGGGAACAACGTGCTGCTTTCATGCACAAGCAGAGTGGGACAGACTGGGCCTGTGGTGGGGACAGATAGTTAGGGTGAGCAGATGACAGGTAAGACAGACCCTCAACTATGTCACCTGTCAAAGGCAGACCTGGAGCCCAGGAACGGAAGAGGGAGGGGTCTAGGGAGTCATTCAGCAACAGCCACTGGACACCAGCTCTGTGCCGGGCACAGGGCAAGGGGCTGAGTGAAGACCCTCAAGGTCAGGCTGCAAGGGGAGTTACCAGGGGGCTTGGGAGGCTGGGGCAGCAGCTGTCACAGCGGTGCAGTGAGAGAAGACAAGATCTCGCTATGGAGTGTAGGAGCAGGATTGGGGAGTAGAGGATGCAGGACTTGGGTCCCCAGCCTGAGACTCAGGAATGGAGGGTGAGAAGAGTAAGAGCTTGCTTCATCCACCCCCAGTGGATCACCTACTGGGACCCTAGGTAACCTGCTTGGTGCCTTGGCCTTGCAGCAGTGAGGATGCTTTGAGCCCAAGTCTCCTGCGCTGCCATAACAAAAGACCACAGCTGGATGGCTTTGAAGAAATTTAGTTCTCACATTTCAGAAGGCTGTTGTTGTTAGGTGCGAGTTGAGTCAGTTCTGACTCATAGCGATCCTATGTGCCTCAAAACAAAACACTACCTGTTCCGGTGCTGTCCTCACGATCCTTGTTGTGTTGAACCCCCTGTTGCAGCCACAGTGTCAATCCATCTCATTGAGCATCTTCCTGTCTTTCACTAACCTCTGCTTCTCCAAGAGATGTCCTTCTCCAGGGACTGGTCCCTTTGATAACATGTCCTAAGTGTGTGAGACAATGTCTCACCATCTTTGCTTCAAAGGAACAGAACGTTCTTCTGGCTGTACTTTTTCCAGGACATTTATTCATTCTTCTGACAGTCTATGGTATGGTCAATACTCTTCACCAGCACCATAATTCAAATGCATCCATTCTTCTTCAGTCTTTCTTATTCATTGGCCAGCTTTCATATGCATCTGAGGCAATGGAAAATACCATGACTTGGGTCAGGTGCACCTTACTTAGTCCTTTAAGTGACATCTTTGCCTTTTAACACCATAAAGAGGTCTTTTGCAGCAGATTTACCCAATACACTGTCATTTGATTTCTTGATGGCTGCTTCCATGGGTGTTGATTATGGATCCAAGTAAAATGAAATCCTTGACTACCATATTTTGTCTTCCTATCATGATGTTCCTTATGGGTCCAGTTGTGAGGATTTTTGTTTTCTTTATGTTGAGGTGTAAGCCATACTGAAGGCTGTTGTCTGGTCTTTATCAGTAAGTGCTTCGAGTCCTCTTCACTTTCAGCAAGCAAGGTTGTGTCATCTGCATATCGCAGGTTGTTAATGAGTTTTCCTCCAATCCTGATGCTGCATTCTTCTTCATATAGTCCAGCTTCGTGGATGAGATGCTCAGTATACAGATTGAATAAGTATAGTGAAAGGATACAACCTTGATGAACACACCTTTCCTGATTTTAAGCCACTCAGTATCCCCTTGTTCTATTCAAACAACTGCCTCTTGGTCTATTTACAGGTTCCTTATGAGCACAGTTAAGTGTTCTACAAATCCTTTTCGTTGCAACGTTATACATAATTTGTGTGATCCGTATAGTTGAATGCTTTTGCATAGTAAATAAAACACAAGTAAACATCTCTGTGGTATTCTCAGCTTTCAATCAAGATCCATCTGAAATCAGCAATGATATCTCTCATTCTACATCCTCTTCTGAATCCAACTTAAATTTCTGGCAGTTCCGTCAATATACTGCTGCAACCATTTTTGGATTATCTTCAGCAACATTTTACTTACATGTGATATTAATGATATTGTTCAAATACTTTCCACATTCTGTTGGATCACCTTTCTTTGTAATGAGCACAAATATGAATCTTTACCAGTTGGCTGCTCAGGAAACTATCTTCCAAATCTCTTAGTGTGGACAAATGAGAACTTCCAGCTTTGCATCTGTCTGTTGAAACATCTCAACCAGTATTCTGTCAATTCCTGGGGCCTTGTTTTTTGCCAATGCCTTCAGTACAGCTTGAATTTTATCCTTCAACACCATCAGTTCTTGATCATATGGTACCTCCTGAAATGGGTAAATGTTGACCAATTCTTTTTGGTATGGTGACTGTTTATTCCTTCCATCTCCTTTTGATACTTCTTATATCATTGGCTATTTTGCCCATTGTTGTTGTTTTTGTTAGGTTCTGTTGCATGGGTCTGACTTGTAGTGATCCTATATACAACAGAACAAAACACTGCCCAGTCCTGAGCCATTCTCACAATCCTTGTTATATTTGAGCCCATTGTTGCAGCCACTGTGTCAAGCCATCTCATTGAGGGTCTTCCTTTTTTTGGGGGGGGGGAGGGGTAACCCTCTACTTCTCTAACAGATGTCATTCTCCAGGAACTGGTCCCTCTTGATAACACATCCAAAGTGTGTGAGATGAAATCTTGCCATCTTTGCTTCTAAGGAGCATTCTGACTGTACTTCTTCCAAGACAGATTTGTTCATTCTTCTCGCAGTCCATGGTACATCCAATATTCTTTGCCAACACCATAATTCAAATGCATCAGTTCTTCATTGGGCTTCCTTATTCATTGTCCAGTTTTCACATGCAAACGAGGCTATTGAAAATACTATGGATTGGGTCCTCTTCAATTCCTGCTTCAATTTCAGTAACAAGTGGCATCTGCAAATCTCAGTTTGTTAAGGAGTCTTCTTCCAATCCTGATGCCACGTTATTCTTCCTATAGTGAAGCTTCTTGGATCATTTGCTCAGCATAGAGGTTGAATTTTGCCCATAGAGTCCTTTAATATTGCAACCGGAGGCTTAAATTTCTTCTTCAGTTCTTTCAGCTTGAGAAATGCCAAGAATATTCTCTCCTTTTGGTTTTCTAACTCCAGATCTTTGCACATTTCATCACAATAAAATTTGTCTTCTTAAACTGCCCTTTGAAACCTTCTTTCCAGCTTGTTTACTTAATCATTTCTTTCCTTCACTTTAGCTACTCTGTGTTCAACAAAAGGAGATCTGGTGGCATAGTGCCTAAGGCATTTGACTAAGCAGAAGGCTGACGTTCAGAGTCTCTTCTGACATCCATTTTGGTCTTTTCTTTCTTTCCTCTCTTTTTATTGACCCTTTGTGGGTTTTTTGTTTTGTTTTGTTTTTTGTTTTTTCCATGTATGACGTTGTTGATGTCATCCTACAACTCATCTGGTCTTCAGTCATTAGTTTTCTCTTTGGTCAGGAGGCTACAAGTCCAAATTCGGGACATTGGTTCTAGGGGAGGGTCCTCATTTGTCTCTTAGCTTCCATAGCCCCAGCATTTCTTGGCGTCCTTGGCTGCTTGTAGATGTATTTACATCATGTCTGTCTTCCTCCTGTATGTGTCTCTGTCCAGTCTGCTCTTTTCATAAGACACTGTTGTTGTTGTTGTTGTGTGCCGTCGAGTCGGCCCCGACTCATAGCAACCCCTCCTTGGGTTTCCGAGGCAGTTATCACTATGGAAGCAGGATTGCCCAACCTTCCTTCCGAGGAGTGGCTGGTGGGTTTGAACCGCCAGCCGTCTGGTTAGCAGGCAAGTGTTCATAAGACACTACTCAGAAGGAATTGGGTTTAGAACTCACCCCTCTCATTAACCTAACAAAAGAAAACCTGTATTTCCAAACCTACATTTACAAGTGCAGGGGTTAGGACTTCAAAATACTCTTTGGGAGACCAATTCAACCCACAACACCTCCCATAGCTGTTGTGAAGATAAGATGTCAATGAGGTCAATGAGGCCAGGGAAGCAGAAAAGACCATGTATAAGTCAAGGTCAGGCTTCTCACTTCTCACCTTGAATATCACAGAGAGTGACCCCAGCCTCCAAGTCAGAGACAGGCCTGCCTTGGGGATAGGGATGGAGCAAGAGGAAGAGCTCAACCTCACCTGGGTGGTTCCCCCCACCTCTGGGAATGACTTTTCCTTTATGTTCGGTTGGTTGATTGGTTCTTTGGTTTGGTTTCATGCAAAATGAGTAGGCCTAGAACTTCCTCCAGGAGCTCTGGTGGCTCAGTGCCTAAGGCATTTGACTGCTAACCAGAAGGCTGGCGGTTCAAACCCACCAGCCACTCCTCGGAAGGAAGGTTGGGCAATCTACTTCCGTAGTGATACTGCCTCGGAAACCCAAGGAGGGGTCGCTATGAGTCGGGACCAGCTTGATGGTGATGAGTCAGTGAGAGCTTCCTCAGTGCTTGGAGCTTTGCTTGGTTCTATGGCCTCAGACAAGTTATTGCAACCTGGAATGTACACTTGTAATCAAGCATTGGGAGATGGACTGGGTGAGGGTGGGCAGGGAGAGTGTCAAAGTTAGAACAGCAGCCCTCACCCTCTCTGTGCCACCACAGGTACTCGGAGGAGGAGATTCGGCAGAAGGTCGGGACTTTCCGGCAGATGCTGATGGAGAAGGAGGGAGTGCTCACCAGGGAGGACCGGCCTGGGGGCCACATGTGAGTACTCACCTGAGCAGGTGGGCTGGGGGGAGGGAAGCTGCAAGCTCAGGTAGCAGCTGGATGACAGAGGGTCCTTTCCAAGTGCTTCCTCAGATGGTGGAGGGAGGAGGCAAGGAGGAGAAGAAGTAGGCATAGCCCTACCCACTGGGAGCTCTGGGCCTCCCCCTGCCCTCCCCTGGCTCTATCGGTGGCTCAGCAGAGGGCGGGGTAGGGATGGCAACCCAGCTCTCAGCTCCAGAATCCTGGGCTGCACAGCAGGAGCCTTTAGAAATGTTCTGACCCCAGTGTTATCACTAGCCCCCTTGTACCCAGTTATTACGACCTATAAAATGGCTCCAAATAAGAACCAATACACCAGATGCCACTGCCATGTGGGCAAAAACTTGGCAGGTAGAGAGTCTGGGCTTTACTGCGGTCACATCTCTGTAGCCTGTCACAGAAGAGCAGTGGCACCAGTGTGTTGTGGCCTCCAGGAGGGATCACAAAGGAAAGTTATAGGGAGGTAGATTTCCTCTCACATTAAAGGAGAAGTATGGACCACTCAAGTAGAAGTCCCTGGGATGTGCAAGTGGTTTGCTCTCATCTACTAACTGAAAGGTTGGCAGTTCGAACCAAGCCAGCAATGCCACAGAAGAAAGGCCTGGTGATCTACTTCCATAAGGTTACAGCCACGGAAAGTCTCTGGGACACAGTTCTACTCTGAAATAGGTAGGGTCGCCATAAGTCAGAGGTGACTCAATGGCAATGAGATGGACTTAAAGCCATACAATTAATGGAGCATGTTGTCACAGAAAGGCAGACACAACCTATCCCTGCACGTGTTCAGTCGTGGGCTGATGGCAAGTCGAGCTCCACGTCTGGCAGGTTGTGTCCACTCTGATGGGCCTTCCCTGGCCAAGTGTGAGTCCCCCACCCAGCACTGACATGCTGGGTTCCTCTGGCTGGAAGCAAAGTTGAAGCTGAGTGAGGAGCTAGGATAAAAACTACTGGCCATTTCCTCAGGAGTGGGTCTGATTTGGGGGGACTTGTCTTGCTGAGGCCCTAAAGCCCTATCCACCTTTACCCCCACAGAAATAAACCAACGGCAGCACTTGTGAGTGAGTTCCCTATTGCAGTCACCTTATGGGCAAGCACATTGTGGGAACAGATAAGCCCTTGAAGGGAAGCCCTTCTCCACAGTCCTCTGTACTGCTGGAAGGACCAGGGGTGGAGATTCCCCACCCTCCCCACTTAACCCCCATCTCTTCTTCTGGACGCAGGGTCAGAAGCAGCCTCAGACTTAGGAGGGAAGCTCCTAGGGGATCTGAGGGCGCCTGCCCACTCTCTCTTCCCCTCCAGACCTAAGGTGACTCTACCACCAATTCCTTCTCTTTAGCCTCCCAGAGCTCACAGCACCATTCCCTCTAATTGATATCCTAGCTAGCTTCCCCCAAGAGCAGGGCCAGCCCTTCTCCTCCCTTCTCAAAATTCCTGACAACCAGGAGGCTGCTCTCAGCTACTGCCCACACCACCTACCAGACTGATCTGTGCTCCTCAAATAACCTCAGACCTTCTCTGGAAAACCACCTACCCGTTCCTCCTCCATCCAGCATGAGGGCAAAGAACCTCCCTTGAATCTTATCTTCTCTCACCCCTTTTCATGATAACTGCCCCTCCATCTCAAGCCTACAGGTATTCTCTCTCCCTGACGCCTTCCTCTTAACCCAATCCCTGTCCTAGAGCATAAACCCCTCCCTCAACCCTGTTTTCTTCTCTAGCTACCACCCTACATGTTCCCCTTCCTTTCTCAACCAAATTTCTTTGAAGAGTAAGCTGTACCCATTGTCTCTGTTTCTTAAACCATGGACATCTGGCTTCTGCTGCTACAACTCCTATGACTTGCTTGTGCCATGGCCACCAGGGTCCTACTTACCATGCCCTGTGCCTTCTCTTCAGGTCTTGGCCTCTTTCTGGAATTTTCCACCATTGTACTTTCTCCTCTGGAAACTTCACAGCTTCTGCTGTTTCCCATTCTCCTGCCTGCTTCCCAGATGTTGACCCCCCCTCCAAGGTTTTGTCACATCAAGTCTCTTCTCCACATCTGCCTTCTCCCTTCTCCCCGGTAGAGCTCATCATCCCCAGACTGAACTCTTTTCTGTAGTGAAGGACTCCCAAATCTTTTCCATTAGTTCTTTTCTTTCCTTGAGTGAATGAATGAACATGAACTAATGATGAATTTAAGAACCAGAGCCCACTGGAAAGGGAGCCATGGAGAGGTTGCAGGCTCTCTGTCATCAGAAAAGTGTCTTGAATGTGGAGCCAAGCCCTCTGCTAGTGCTGTGAGGTGGGAATAGAGGAAAGGGAGTGGGATCCCTGCTCCCTGAGTGGAAAGACAAACCTCCAACCTGAAACCAGGGATGACTGTCAACTCTTGACAAGAAGAAACAGCACATCTATCTGAACTGTTTAGTGTGTGTGAATTCAGTGGGGGAAGAGACTGGGACAGACTAGGGTGGTCAGTCAGGAAGGGGTCCTTGGAAGAGGTGGACCTGGAAGGCTCAATGGTCAGGGAGACCTCCTGCTCTGGAAACATGATGAGATGTTCTAGAGGCAGAAGATAGGATAGACCTAGCGGGGTCCTGGAATCCCACTAGAATGTTGGTTCCAGAACAGGAATCTTGATTGGTTTTGTGTGCTGCTATATTCCTGGAGAAGGACATCATGGTTGGTAAAGTTGAGGGTCAGCCAAAAAAGGGAAGGCCCTCAGTGAGATGGATTGACACGGTGGCTGCAACAATGGACTCGGGTGTAGCAAGGATAGTGAGGCTTGGGCAGGATCGGGCAGTGTTTCGTCCTGATGTACATAGGGTCACTGTGAGTCGGGGCCGACTCAACGGCACCTAACCACAACAACATATCTTTGATGCCTAGAAGAGGCCATCTTGCTCAATTTTCCCCAAAGCCTCAGTTTCCTCCTTCACACGGTGAGGGGATTGGACCAGAAAGCTTCTTCTAGCCCAAGCAGCTTTAAATGGTAAGAGAATAGTACTACAATCAGTGACTGCAGTAAATTGAAGAGGCTGGTGGTGGCCTGGACTGCTTAATTGGGGGTGGTGGTGTTTGTGGTGCTGAAGCCAAGGCTGTTTTGGCCTGAGGCAGAGAAGTGAGGGGTAGCAATGATGGAGGGCTGAGGACAGATTGATCGTGGGCCTTCCTGTGGGCCTGGCATCTGACCAGGTCTTCATTTCTCAGCTTAGAATGTGGGTAGTGGAGAGTGTGAGCTCTGGCATCCGACACTCCACTTGTCCAAACCTCTAAACTCAGTGTTAACTCCCTGAGCCCTGGGCTCCAGCTCCAGTATGTCTCATCTGTGTGATCTGGGCAGGTTCTTGACTTTTCTGAGCCTCAGTTTCTTTATATATAAAATGGGGGTGTTAATCCCTACCTCGTAGGATGATTGAGGAATGAAAAGAGACGATAAATGTGTGAGGAATGATGCCTGCTTACAGCAGACACACACTGCCAGCCACTCACCACCACCACATCCTCATGGTCACAGGGAGGCCTGGCAGAGGCAAGTATTGAATTGACTTTAACTTCATTCTTCAGCCTGGCTCATCCCCCATCCTCTTTGCCAATCGTGGAGTTCAGGAGTCCTAGTGGCTCATGCCTTTGGTTTCCTGGCCCTTATCACCACATATAGACTGTGCTTCAAGACATGTAGAAATTTAACCTCCTCTTACAGTGATAAGACGAAGCTAGACCCAGACTGAGGGTCTTCACACAGGAGAGGAGGAGCAATCCTTATTAATTTCAACCTTCCATGGACTGTGAGGAGCTCTGGTAGCATAGTGCCTAAGGCACTTGACTGTTCACCAGAAGGCTGACGGTTCAAACCCACCAGCCACTCCTCGGAAGGAAGGTTGGGCAATCCTACTTCCGTAGTGATACTGCCTCGGAAACCCAAGGAGGGGTCGCTATGAGTCGGGGCCGACTCGACGGCAAATAACAACAACAACAACATGGACTGTGAGAGTTCATACTGACTTCCACCCAACAAAGGGCCATAACAGAGACAGGGTCAGTCCCAAAGCTTTTGTCCCAGGGATCCCCTTCTTCCTAAAGCTTGACTACTCTGAGTGACAGTCTCCCCTCTGCCTCCCATGCAGACACCAGACTGTCATACTGCTGCAGCTGGTGGTGGACGCCAGTGCAAGGCCTTTGAGGGAAGGTGTCCTGGTTCCCCAGTGCCGCTCTGACAAGAATATACCACGAATGGGAGGGCCTTAACAAACAGGAGTTTATTCTTACAATTTGGAGGCTTTAGTCCAAGTTCAAAGTGCCAGGCTCTAGGGACCAGGTGAAACCCCCTCAACCTTGGGGTTCAGCTCTGCCTCCTGCTCCTGGCCCACTGGAGCTAGAGGCGTTTCTTCACTCAGACAGCTGCTGGCTGCTGAGGCTGAGAAGCCCCAAGGTTGACAAGTCAAAAGGCACAGTTCCGATGTTACCAATCCACACGGCAGGCCATTAACTTAAGTCCACTGTAAGTCCCAAGGTCGGCAGGGCATAGCAGGCTGCTGAGCAATGACACGGCTACATGCAGGGTCCAAGCGTGCCATAGGCTAGAGACCATTCTCAAAGCTTCTCCTTATATACAGGAAGCGGACTACATCCCAAAGGCAGCTACTCAGCTGCTTGTGGTCAATCCCACCATGGAGTTGATTGCCATTCTCATCATGGGGAGTAACTACCACCACCTGCCCAGCCACTCAACTAGGCCCAGCCAAGTGGACAGACAAATACAACTACCCCAGAAGGTGTAATGAGATCAGGCAGGTGTTCCCCTTTGGAAGATGGCTCAGATAGGTGAGGCTGCAGGGAGAACACGGAGAGAGCCTATGCAGAGGAGGTGGGTGGCTCCAACGGCAGTGAGGAAGGACAAGCCTTCATCTTTGGAAATGGATTGGAGGCGGAGAGTCCTAGTTTGCCATAGAAACCTGGGTCTCCCCACCATCCGT